GCGTGAACTACTCGCAGTGCATTAGTCAGATAATAACAATGTGTATGTGTGTGTGTGACTGTCAGTGATAATATTTGAGTGACGGTGAATCACAGCGCTGAAGCATTGCAAATAAAGCCCTGACAACACTTGATTCTGATCTGAAATCACTACATGACACACTTCATCTGTATTCAGAGCTGTTTATGTTCAGAGTCCAGTACAGAGTTCATAGTCTTCTGTAGTATGTTTGTTTTAAACAGTATTATTGTTGTCAGATGAACTCTTTATGTAAATTTCAGTATGCACATTTTCTGAATGGATGGATTAAACACTAAATTTGCAGATTATTTATCTATTTATTTATTTAGTAAGTGGGCACTATTCATGTAAGACAAAGTTTGTTTCATAGTATATCATGATTTCCGTTTTTAAATTACAGTACAGTTTTTAAACTGCTAAAAAATCAGCATATTATGCACATTATAAACTGCAGAAATAATAGGAATAGTGTGTTTGTAGTGCATTCTAGGCTTGGTAATAATATAATTATATTACAGTGTCCAAAATTAATAAGTGAATTGAAAGCACATGACAAATAACCACAAAATAAATAATGCAAATAAATAAAGCAAATATTTAGCATTAATTATTTTTATTGTCCATTTCACTATCTGTCTGTCTGTCTGTCTGTGTATCTATCTGATTAAATGCATTACAAAACTTTAATCTGAACAAACATGAATTTGTTTTTTCAGTCATATATATATGCATTATTTATTTGTTTATTTAGTTTTGTTTGTTTCACAAAGGAATTTAGCTGTCTGATTTTGTTTTCTGATATATTTTCATTTTGAGTGCCAAGAATGTCCCACCATGGGGAGTTATAGCAATAAAATACATGAAAAAAAGTGTTGGCCATGAGCAACTGTTGTTATATTGTGATATAAAACATCTACCATGTTGCAGTTCCAGCTGAGCAGTAGCTGTGCTTTCTTTACTTGCCGAGTGTTAATTCTGGCCCTTGATTCTTCTTCTTCTTCAGAAGATGTGTGTGTGTGTGTGTGTGTGTGTGTGTGTGTGTGTGTGATCACACTCACAGGACTCTGACACACCAGGGTCTTGTTGTTGTGGAGCTTTTCCTGACACTGTTGCCCGGGAGACAGTGTGGTGTTTTTGATCCGGCGGTCCTGAGATGTGTGTGTGTGTGTGTGTGTGTGTGTGTGTGTGTGTGATCACACTCACAGGACTCTGACACACCAGGGTCTTGTTGTTGTGGAGCTTTTCCTGACACTGTTGCCCGGGAGACAGTGTGGTGTTTTTGATCCGGCGGTCCTGAGAGACTCATCATCACAGCTGACCGTCAGTCAGTCACACACAACTTCTGAATAAAACACACAACTTTCCTTTATTAGCATCTGAAGCGGTCACAGAGATATAGTGTCACTGTGAGACATAGAGAGAGGCACGACACACACAAGGAGTGTGTGAAGAGTGCACGTTTGATCCGTTTCCCTCAGACTTCCATCAGAAGGAGTATAAAGCCTCCTGATCAGCACAGAAAGCACCTCCAACATTAAAACTGATCACACGCGCTCTTCAGAAGAGCTCAGCTCCTTCAACTTCCTTATCTGTCTTGTGGGATGTATCCAAAATCACGGTTTTATTTTCCAGGTGTTCTAATGTGTCCAATGGCATCTTTTGTAAAGGAAATAGTGTTGCTTCGAGGCAGCTGTGTTTTTGTGTAGTGAGCTGCGTTTCTGTCTGCTGTCTTCATGGGCTGTTGTTACCTTCTAAGGAAGCATCTTAACTAAAAGAAAATCTCAGATGTGACCGATTAAATAAAATGCTGCTCATGGTGTAGCAACTAAACTACTAACAAAGTATTTTTTTGAATTGAATTTAATTGGATGTGGCATCTTCAATGGAAATTTTCAAAGCGCTTGTTGCAGTGCATTGGATTGTCTTGTCAGTGAAAGGACACATTTATTGATTCGATGAAATAAACATTGTTTTAGCCCAGGCCTGTCCAGAAATTTCTGGGTCATGTTTCAGCTAAAAATCTAATCATTTATTGATAAATAACAGTGAAATTCAAAGCATGCATTATATGTAGTTATTATATATCATTTATTATATATTCTCTATCAGAGATTTTTGAATATGTAATTATTTAATTAATAACATATTTAAGTATTTAAAACAATTTATATATGTATGATGTTGTAGGTTTGTTTATGTTTATATAAACATTTATATCATGTTTTAATTGTATTAATTAATTATTTATTATAATATAATAAATTATAATTTTAATAATTATTTTTATTAAAATAATAAAATTTTTATAGTAATTTGAATTATATATAACAATAAATTATTTTTATTTTTTTTACATTTATTTATTAAGTGGAAGGTTGCTTGTGACTTTTTTTAGCTCATAATTGTTGTTTTAAATGTTATTACAAAAACCTATTTATCTGTCACGTGCATAAGCATGTGGGCTGCTGTAGGTGAGCAGCTTGCTAGGTTTACCATCAGAGCAAATGAAGCGCTGTTAGTGTACAGATGAAGTGCATTGGCTGGGCTTCAGGCTGCTTGTTTGGTTAATGAAGTCACAGGGCACCAAGAGAGGTTACAGCGGATCTGATCTCACACGGGAGACTTGTGAGGCCTGCGGTGCATGACAAGATCATTAGATACTGCTTACACGCGTCCCGCACGCGCTCCACACCAAACAAACAGCCTGCTACAGTGCCTTCAGAGCGCGTTTGCATTGTCCTGATGCTTTCTGCTGGCTTTGTGCTGATTACAGCCCTCCAGACGAGTTAAGACCTCATTAGGATGCTAAAACAAAGATGAGAGACAGGCTTCTTTGAGACGCTTTCTTGTGGGGACAGACCATCCTGCGATCACGTCTTTTCACATTTGCCAGCGCTGGCTATTGCCTTCAGCAATGCTCTGACTGATCCGTTATTCTAGCGCTTTGTAGCAGTTGCACATCACTGGTTTCATGCATAGATATATAATAATTATTTTTTAAATATATAATCCATTAGATTTTTTTTTAGACCTACAATATAATGCATATATAAACATTATCATTTTAAAATATTTAAATATGTTATATAATAATTTTTAAAATATATCTGATTTTATTTTTGAGCTATATTTTATAATATAAAATATATAAATATTTTTGGCTGTATTTTATTATACAAAGTATTTAAAATATATTTTATATTTTGTATGTATAGCTTGTCTGATTTCAATAATTCAATTATTACAGAATTCTTTATATAAAAAATAAACCTATAACATTTTACATATTATAATTTTTAAGTGTTAAAATGTTATTACATTAAATATTTATAAATCTCTGATTATATTTTTGGGCTATATATATTTTAGAATATAAAATATGCAAAATATCTATTTTGGCTATATTTTATAATACAAAATATGTATTCAAAAATAATTAAAATATTGCATATATAATATAATTGTTATATGAAAAATTAATAATCCATAACATAATGCATACATAAATACATTTTATATATGTTATTAAATAATTAAATAAAAATATCTTATTTGGCTGTATTTTGTAATATATGTTTTCTAGCTATATTCTAGCGGTTGCAGATGACAGGTTTCATGGCTCTAGTGCAGTAACTAGTCTAATTGAGTTTAATATGAAGTGTGTTATGTCTGTGTTGATGCTGTGGACGTGAAGGTGATGTGTGGTTGTGTGGGCTGAACGCAGCTGCTGTACGGTCTGACTCACTCATTTGACGGCGTTTATTGACATTAAATATTACACGCCGATGACCGGCCAAGATACTGGAAGACTGTTTAGCTTTGGTGTGCGTGGCATTGTCATGATAGCAGTGCTGGAGGGACTTATTAAAAGTGCAATGCTATTTTTGTTGCGTTGCACAGCTGAGCAGTAAATCTGAGTTAATGCTGTAAATAAATATGCCTTCAGTCCCAAATTCCCCTCAGTGGCAGTAGTATACAAAATAATTTATATTCACTACAGTAATGTTTATTTTTATATAAACAGTTCTATAAATTCTATGGACCTTTTTCACATTGAAATTATAACATTGAAATGATTTGAAATCAAAGAAATATATCAAATGTATGTATAATTAGTCTGATTTCAAATAATTAACATATTACATAAATAATATTGTTGTTTATATACAAAAATGTACCAACCTATAAAAATATTCTAATTGTATTTAAACATATTAATAAATACCATTTAAAAATGTTATTAAATAATAAAATATTTAAAAATCCCTGTTTTTTGGCTATATTTTAAAATGCAAAATATATGACATTTTGTATTTTGTATATATAATTTGTCTGATTTCAAATAAATAAAATATTACATATAATATAGAATTGTTAATATACAAAAATGAACAAAGCTATTACATAATGCATATATAAATGTTATAATTTTAAAATATGTAAAAATTTTATGAAATAATTCAAAATTTACAAAAAAAATCTGATTATATTTTTTGGCTATATTTTATTATATAAAATATATTTGTTTGATTTCAATTAATTGAAATATTAAATAGAATTGTTTATATAAATATAAACAAACCTATAGCATAGTGCATATATAAATATTAGAATTTTATGAAGATTTAAATATATTATTAAATAAAATATTTAAAAATCTGGTTATTGTTTTGCTTTTTTGTATTTTATAATCTAATATATATAAAATATTATATATTATGTAAATATGTCTTAATTGTAATATAAAAAGAAAAAAATCAACAATGCATATATACAGGTATATATTAAATAATTAAATATTTCAACATCTCTGATTATATTTGATATGAAAACATACTGTCCGTCCCAACTAGCTACAGTTTCTGAGTACTTTAAAACACAACACAGTTTTCACAGATAAAAGTGAAACAAGGACAAATACACATTGAATAAATGAATAACAGTTGCTAAACTCTCTCTCTGTTTCTTTCTCTTCCCAGTTCATCGCGTTCGCCTCCCTGTTCTTCATCCTGGTCTCCATCACAACCTTCTGCCTGGAGACGCACGAGGCCTTCAACACGATCATCAACAAGACGGAGGCGTTCCGCAACGACTCCTTCACGGACTTCAGCCAGCAGTACGAGATCGAGACGGACCCGGCACTCACCTACGTGGAGGGCGTCTGCGTGCTGTGGTTCACCTTCGAGTTCCTGGTGCGCGTCACCTTCAGCCCGGACAAGCTGGAGTTCGTCAAGAGCATCCTGAACATCATAGACTTTGTGGCCATTCTGCCCTTTTACCTGGAGGTGGGCTTGAGTGGACTCTCCTCCAAAGCCGCCAAAGACGTCTTGGGATTCTTGCGCGTTGTCCGCTTCGTGCGCATCTTGAGGATCTTCAAGCTGACGCGGCACTTCGTCGGTCTGCGCGTATTGGGACACACCCTCCGGGCGAGCACTAACGAGTTCCTGCTGCTCATCATCTTCCTAGCATTGGGCGTCCTCATCTTCGCCACCATGATCTACTACGCCGAGCGGATCGGAGCCAGCCCCAACGACCCGACGGCCAGCCACCACACCATGTTCAAGAACATCCCCATCGGCTTCTGGTGGGCCGTGGTCACCATGACCACTCTGGGCTACGGAGACATGTACCCTCAGACGTGGTCGGGCATGCTGGTCGGCGCGCTTTGCGCCCTCGCCGGAGTGCTGACCATAGCCATGCCCGTGCCCGTCATCGTCAATAACTTCGGCATGTATTACTCGCTCGCCATGGCCAAACAGAAGCTCCCTAAGAAGAGGAAGAAGCACATCCCTCAGACGGCGCAGACCGGCTCGCCGTCCCCCCGCAAGCAGTTTGCAGAGTACGGCTGTTTCTAAAGCATGCAGTGCCATCTTCTGTTAAAACCTAAGCTCAGAATCAATTCGAGAGAGAAACGCGATGCATTCGGAAAATCTCAGAATCGATGCAGAATCATTTCTCGATTCGAGATGCATCGATTTCTTTGCCTAGCCCTGACAGACGCATGCAGAAGCTTCTGTGTTTAACAAATTTGATTTGATTTATGTGTGTTAAATAATATATAATGGTATGAATACAATATGATGCCAATACATATTAAATGTAAATATGAAAAAGGAAAATGAAATGTCATAAACATTTAATTTAGGATTTTATTCACATATAAACACATATAGAGCATAGACGCACACAGAAGCTTCTGTTTACCGAATGTGATTCGCTCTATTTATGTGTTTAATTATATAATGATATGATATGGAATGCAATATAATAATAAAATATATGTTAAATATAAATATGAAGAATAAAAATGAAGAAATGGTGCTGAAAATAATGTAACAACTGAAATAAAATAAGATGAAATACTAAAATTACTAAAACTAAAACTGAAATAAAATAAAGCCAAAAGAAATATCATTCATCATTAAATAATAAATTATAATAATAGTAATTTTAGTATTTCAACTTAAACTTATTTAATTTCATTTAGTTGGCAAGACAGTTTAAAATAAATGAATAATAATAATAATAATATTTATGTATTTATTTAAAACTGTCGTGGCAACTACTAACTGAAATAAAAGAAGTTTAAGCTGAAATACTAACATTACTATAAAAAAATTGCAATAAAAATAAAGTAAAAAAGAATTGAAATTATTATTATTATTATGATTATTATTATCATTTAAAAAACTGTTTTGGCAGCTAACTGAAATAAGTTTAAGTTGAAATGCTAAAATGACTAAAACTGAAATAAGTAATTAAAGCCAAAAAAATGAATTAAATATTATTATTACATTATTAAAATAAATGAATAAATTCACAACAGCACAAAACAAGCTGACTAAAAATGATTAAGATTAAGATAAAAACTGAAAATATAAAAATAAAACCTAATTCAAAATATCAATGAATACTATAATAGTATATAAATAATATTTAAAAAAATAAAGTCGAAATGTTGGAAGTATTGTTAAAAGGTTGTTAACAGATTTGTTGTAAATGTTGTAAACTGATTTAATTTAGGCTTTTATTCACATATAAACATGCATAGAAGCTTCTGTGTTTACCATATGTGATTCGCTCTAGGTATGTGAGTTTATATGTGAATAAAAGCCTAAATTAAACGTTCATCATATAAAGCAATAGTTTTTTTTTTTCTTTTACAAGACTTCAGTTAAAACACTCGGTTCATATAGATTTGCTTTATGATCTTTTTGGATGTTTTATGTTTTGGTTACTTGGACTTTCAATGGAGGGACTGAAACCACTCAGGATTCATTAAAAAATATCTTAATTTGTGCTTCAAAGATTATCCAAAGTCTTTTGGGCTTGGAATGACATGAGGACAGAGTTTTCATTTTTGGATGAACTATCACTTTCAATTTGATGGTAGTTTAGCATTTAGCATTTATGTAGTTCAACTTTAAATACTGTATGTTAGATGCCAAATGCATGCATGCATGGAAATGTAAATTTGTGCATGCTTAAAAATGACCCAAAAAAAGCAATGAAAGTCCATACGGCTTGTGCACTATATTCCACTAGTCATATGAGAGCTTTTGTGTGAGAAACGGACAGAAATGTAAATCATTCACTCTTATCATACTCTAGTGTAGCTCTTAATCAGTCACATGACACATATTAGCCAATGATGAGCCATCAATGGCATCATTGTTTTTGAATTGAAAACAAGCGGGAAGAAGGGTTTGAACAACATGAGTATGGCCATTTTAATTTTGACTGAATTATAACTAATATCTGTTGCATGGAGTTATGAATTTCGGATTTGTATTTCCTGGTTGAAGCTGATATTTCTTGGAGATCTGAGCATGAGAGGCTGCAGATCTAGCGCAGATCGCCTGTTGCCACGGAGATAAGGGTGCGAGGAGATGGGCTGTGTTTCAGTCTGACATTAGAGACAATAGTGAGAATGAGAAAGTGTGCAGGAATGTGCATGCTAGTCATTTACACGTGACTGTTTTCAGGGTGAACGATCCGAGGACGAGGTCTGAACAATGGGAAAAACTCGGCCTTAAATTAGCTGTCCAACTGTTTTTGAGAACAAAAATACATGTGTGTTATGCCAAGTCATAAATGCATCTGATCTGGGTCAGGTGAACCTGAAATCAGTCTAATTATAAAGTGCTGACTATGCAGTATATACATTACTGACATTTAAAGGGTTAGTTCAGTAAACAATGAAAATTAAGCTGCGTTTTACTCACCCTCAAGGCATCCTAGGTGTATATGACTTTCTTCTTTCAGACGAATCCAGTCGGAGTTA